GGGCCATGGGGCTGCCTGGGGTACCCCTCAACCCAAGGAAGACAGGATTTGGCAGTCAAGCGAGAACTGGTCTCCACACAAGGGGACAGATCAAGCCAAGCCTGTGACTCCCGCCACACGGGTCACTTAATCACTCTATGGCCTGAGTGGCCCTCCTCGGTCCAACACAGCCAACAACAGCACCTCCTCCTCCCGGCAATTACCAGGAGCAAGCCACCTGCTCTGGCCAGTGGCTCTAGGCAGAGCTACTGTGTGAACAGGCACTCTTCTCGCTTCCCTGAAAGAAAAGAGCTGATTGAGGAAGCCCCGTGAGTGCCCAGCTCAATGGAGGACTCACAGCAAGGTGAGTGGCAAGGCTGCCACTGGCCAGCCTGAGAGAATGCAGGCTCAGGAAGGATACAGCTGGCCACAGCAAGAGAAGGTATCAGGCGGGGAGTGGTCCACGCTGGTCCCAGGGTGGGCAGAGCTGACCCCACAGGTTCCCCAGGGGCCGGCTGTGAGCCTATGGTGGCTATAGGGTTGTATGCATGGAGACCAACAGGACAGGCTGCCCCACCACACCCCATCTCCACTTAAACCATCAGCAAACTCTGATTTTTTTTTCCCCTGGGAAATCCAGCTGAGATCTGCCACTGCTCAGCCGGTAACCACCCAAGCTACCTCCTCTCACCTGCTATTACTTCCTGCCTTCTGCTTCCTCCTCGTCCCAAGTCTATTCTTGCCACAGCAGCCAGAGAGAAGGACACCGCTAACAGTCAAACAGGGAGGTTCCATGTAGTAGGTTCATCTACTGCTCAGAGTGCTCAGACTTCCCGCTCCCCAAGACAGTGGCTGTAGCTGCGGCTGTGCTCCCAGGCTCACAGAGACTGCCAGGAAATGCGCTCCGCAACTCAAGAGTCAGAGGTGCACGCCCACCTTTCCGCCAGGCCAGACCACTCTTCCTGGGGCTGGATACCCTGTGGGGAAGTCTTGCCTTGGTCAGTGCCCAGGCCCCTTCCTCCCTTTCCCAGCAGGCAGGTCAGGGGAACCCCTCATTTTCCTTGCACAACAATGTACTGAGGGCCTCACAGTGCTGACAGAACGTGGTGGAGTTCAGAGGCCTCCAGTCCTATGCCTTGGCTCACTAGCCTCACCCACTCCACCCCAGAAGATTTGGGCAGTTCTTGGAGAAGTGGGAGGCCAAGGCCACAATCATAAATGATTACCCCAGGCCAAGGCCTTCTCCTTCCCCTTCTCCTTTCCTTCTGGGGAAGTGGAAAGACACGAGTCAAGTGGAAACAGAAACTCGATGCGCCCCAGAGGCTCCTTCTGGTGTCCGTGTTTACCCAAAAACCCCAATGAGTCCACCCAGACCCCGTGCAATGTTGGGGATGCCCCAGCTTGGGCACCCTGTGACTCCTGGCTTGTCAGGGCCCCCTGAGTCACACCAGCAACCCTTGAGATGGATGGGGTCGAGCTCCCAAGGCCAGTCTGGAAAGGGGCAGTCATCTTTTCATCTTCCAGGGGACGTCTTGCTCCCCTCAAGAAGTCTCCACATGTGCCCAGCGCTAGCCCTGGCCACAGAGAAGCCAGAAAGAGCAAAGAGGGAATGCCCTCCTTGCCCTGGACCCAGTGACATGGCAGCAGTGACTGGAGCCCTAAGGAAGTTTCTGGAAGGCAGCCATGGCCCTGGTATTAGGAGATGGTTCTTCAAATTTCTGCTGGGGGGAACAGATCTTGAACCGACTTCTATTGGACCTCAACTTCCCCATCTGTGAAATGGAGTCAACAAGGTCCACCACCAAATGGAACAAGAACGAGCCACCAAATGGGCAGGACTTTTGGGCTCAGCCGCAGGACTCCCTCCCACCACCAAAAGTCTAGCTGAGAAAGAGTTTGATTTCAGGTAACACAGAATTACTCAGTCTACAGAGGGCTAGCCCCAGGGACCTCGGGACCCTGTTCTGGCCCATCAGGGATTCTAGCCTGGTGAGGAAGAGACAGTCACATGCATGTCACACTGCGGTCAGTGCTGCAAGGAGGAGTGAACAAAGCATGTGTGTGTGTGTGTTTAAATGTGTGCCAGAGAAAGAGGAGCAGACCCATGCTGGAGTCAGCTCAATCAGGGGAGCCTCAGAGAGGGGCTGTGGGCTGAGAAGCCTGGCAGCTGCAAAGGCAGTAGGCAAGCCTGACAGGTAAACCAGCAGGCAGCCGACTCTGGTCCAAGGCACAGGCCCCATACAAAGGCTCCTGGGTGACACTATCCCGGGCTGCACAGTCCCAGACACCAGAGGCCAGGCCTGCAGATCTCCCCAGGGCATGGCGCCAGCTGCGCCCTGGGCTGAGGGGACACTTCCTCTTGACCAGCCAAGGCCAACTCTGTCATCCCCAGCCATTTCCCCCTTCCCCCATCACTACCACTGCAACTCTGCTCACAGCTCTCCGAGCCCCCACCAGCCCTGACCTCCCCTCTGGTGACCGCAGCTGTTCTCAAGACGGCCCTGGCCACCAGCTCCCCAGGGGAAACTACCCCAAGCCTTCCTCTCCCAGGACACCAAAGTCACTGCTGGCCTTGTTACCCCTGTCCATTTCCTGAGCCCTCTGCCAGCAGGTCTGTGGCTCTGTCACTTTTGAATCTTCATTCCTGCCTCCAGTGCCCCCAGCTCAGCGTTTTATTTACGGACAGAGAGTAAGGATTGGGGGCTCTGAGGCAAAATGAGAAGTCATGTTAGTGCTTCTCAAGCAGTTGAAAAGAAAGAAAGAAAGAAAACTCCTGGGGTTGGCGTTGTGATGCAGTATATTAAGCTACCATCTGTAATGCCAGCATCCCATACCCCAGCCTGCTGGTTGGGAGTCCCAGTTGCACCACTTCTGCTCCTTGCTAATGTTCCTGGGAAAGCAATGGAGAATGGCCCAACTGCTTGGGCCCCGTCACCCACGTGGGAGACCTGTATAAACCTCCTGGCTTCAGTCTGGCCCACCACCAGCCACTGCAGCTATCTGGGAAAGAATCCAGCAGATGGAAGACCTCTCTCTCTGCTTCTCCCTCTGCCACTCCACCCTTCAAATAGATCTTTTCTCAAAAGAAGAAATTAAGATCTTAACCAGGGAGCTATGCTATCTTCACGGAAGTCACAACAGTCAACAGGTTACATATTGGACATATACACACCCTGGACTGCGCTAAGCCCCACCCCACGCTGCCCCCACACACAGGACTTCGTGGAATCCTGCCAACGACTCTGCACTTCACCAAAGAAGAAAATGAGATTTGTCAGCGTCCCCCAAACCACATCAGAGCCCAGGTCATCTGCCTGCAGTGTCTGTCTCCTTAGCCACGATGCTACTACAGAAAGGGTGCTGAGCTGACCCCCAGGGACGGGGGTGGTAGGCTGCCAGAGTGCAGCAAGAGAAGGCAGGATGAATGCAGAGCAGCTAGGGCTGCCCCAGGCAATGGGCTGGACGCTGCAGCTGCTGGACCCCGTTTAGGGTCTTCTAAGCAAGGAAATGGCAAGTAAGCAAAACACCAGCGTGACAATGGAGACAGGGATGGAAGTGACGGGAGGTGATCCAGTCTCCTGCTGGGAATCATTTCCACAAAGGTGATACTGTTCGAGATGGACAGATGAACGGGAAGAGGGCCACAGGTTGGGCTTGGGAAGTGAGGAAGCAGAGCAAGTGTAAGAGAATTCACAGGTTTCTGGCTGGGCTGGAGAAGCAGAGAGAATCTGCCAGACTAACCCAGACTTCAGCCAGGGTGCTCACCCTGGGGAGCGGGGGCAGCAAGAAGACTCAGGCTGGCACTCCAAGGAAGGCGCTGAGCCATGGACATGCAGCTGGTGTTCAGCTGATGTGAAAGAGAAACTAGCAAGTGGATGGGACCATCCCAACTCCAGGGATAGAGAGGGCCTGAGTGGGGAAGAAAGGAAAGTGGGGGCTCCCAATCCTGCCGGCACATTAGTAAAAGAGGTGGGCGGGAGGGTAATTCATAATGAGGGTCCAGGGTGTCAGGCGTCCCTAAGAACTCCACAAGGCTACATTCAAGGCCCTGGGGACACCAGCAAGCTGTTCCCGGAAGGTTTGCAAAGCGAGCTGGAGAAAACCTCAGGGCTACAGGGAGACAGAGACCCATCTCCTCATTCCCAAATCTCGACCCTTACCCCCCATGCTCTGTCCCTGCCCCATAAACAGACACAGTCCCCTCGCTTCTTCTAAGAGGGGGGCTTTGGGAGGCGATCCAGAGCCGGGGGTCGCAGCTCCAGGGACCCCCCCGCCACACACACTACGTGGGGCGGAGCCAGGGGGCGGAACCCGGGACAAGGCGGGCGCGGGGAGGGTCGGACCGAACCCGGGGCGGACACTGGGCAGGGAGGCGGGACCTGCCGGCCGAAGGCAGCCCGCGAGCCACCGCCCGGTCCAGCATCCTCGGCAGGACCCACCTGCTCCATGGCAGCCGGGGCGCCCAGCTCGTCCAGCCCGGGTTGCAGTCTGGGCTCCGCGGCTCCGGCAGCGGTCTTGAGCGGAAGCAGCTCCGCCGGCGGCGCTACTTCCGCCGCGGCTGAGTCCGCCCCCGAGAGCGGACCGGGAGTTACGTCAGGCGACAGCCCCGCCCCGAGGCCACGGGACCTGGAGTCGGGTCTTAAGGGGCTGGGGGCCTTCAGGAGGGTGGGGAAGTGGGAAAGAAGAAACCCGGGGCTTTTGTCGCTGTGGAGCCACAGAAACGCGGCCCTGTCGGGGGAGAGGGGGAAGTTCCTGAGGAAGACGTGGCGGGGGGTGGGGGTGGGAGACAGGCTCCTAGAGGAATGCACCTGTACTCCAAAGGGGCCTCTCTCCCCTTCTCCCAGCCATCCCTGCAAGGATGTCGTTCTTTCTGAATTCCCCGAGCCTGCCACGATAGAAGACTGGACAGTAGGAACCCAAGGCCCTAGCCTATGGGTAACTGTCAACACCAGGTTACCCCGCTTCCCCCAAGCTCTGCCGCGTGCCCCTAAAAAAAATAAATAAAAGGAGGCTCAGCCCAGTTATTTACAAAGATTTATTACAGCCGGGGCAGGGGGGTCCAAGCCCGGACTCCTGGACGGAGGGGACGGAGCGGCTGGCGGGACCTGGCTCCCCGCGGCCGCGCACCCCCTCAAGGACAGATACCAAGCGGCATTCCTGGCATAGAAGCACAACACGACAGCAGCAAGCAGCTTCTGCCAGTCCCTCTTCCAAACACCCAGTGGGAGCAGGGGTGAGCGGGATAGGTTTCCAAAATACAGAGGCTGTGATTGGTTCCTGAATTCTGGGCCCTGCTGGGAGGATGGGGGATGGGGCTCCCAACGTGCCCGCCCCTTCCCTTGGGAGAAAGGAAGGAAAAGGATCGAAGGGCACCCGCAGGCACCTCCTTTCCCCAGATCTGAGGGTCCTGCCCTGTTGGTCTCCTGGACCCAGGAATGGGGAACTGTGAGAGGCAAGTCCTTGTTCCCGGTGACCCCGCTTGTCCAGTGGGGGAGCTCTCACATCCCACCGCCCCCTGGGAGAATGGAGGAAGGACTGGCAAAGGGTCAGCATCAGGCAGCAAGTGCCCAGGAGGGATTCTCTAGGCATCGGCCAAAAGTGGGCAAACACACAGTGGGCAAGCACAGATCAGCCTTAGTCTCCTAGAAGTTAGCAGCTGCAGGACTAGCAGGACAGGGGCAAGGGTACCAACAGGGTGGGGGCCCAGTGGATTTCTTGGGGAGCAGCAATGTCCCCTCCACTTTCTTCTGGAAGATGCAGGAATGGGTGTCTATGTGCCAGGCTCAGCAGGAGCAGGCCCCTGAGGCTCTGTAAGGTAACCAAGGTAACCAGGGAGGGACTCAGGGCCTGGCCCTACCCTGCATGACCCCAGCCTCACCCCACACCCCATTCCCCAGCCTCACCGCCTAGGACTGGATCTTCCACTTGCTCCTCCGAGTGTCCGTCTCTCTGGGGCTCATCCAGAGGGGGTGGGCGTTCCCAGGGCCCCTCCAGACCCTGGCCGCAGGTTATCTTCTGCCCAGCTGAGGATGGGAAAGAACAGGTGGAAACACATGTTCTGAGCCTGCCCTTCCCAGGGCATCATGGCGGAGCATGGCTCCTAAGCTGTGTGGCTTAGACATGTCAGCTGGGGGGGACTGCATTGTGTCACAACTTACACCACCACCCATAATGCCAGCATCCATATGGGCACCAGTTTGTGTCTGGGCTGTTCCACTCCTGATCCAACTCTTTGCTAATGCACCTGGGAAAGCACCAGAACATGGCCCAAGTGCTGACCCAGACTCCTGGCTTCAGTCTGCCCAGGATATTAGATGTTGTAACTATTTGGGGGAATGACCCAGAGATGGAAAATCTCTCTGTGTGTAATTCCCAAATAAATAAATAACCCTTCAAAAAAAAGATGGGGGTGGGGTGAGGTTGATTCAGTGGCTCAACTGGCTAATCCTCCATCTTCAAGTGCTGACATTCTATGTGGGTGCCAGTTTGTGTCTTGGCTGCTCCACTTCCCATCTAGCTCCCTGCTTGTGTTCTGGAAAATCAATGGAGGATGGCCCAAAGCCTTGGGACCCTCTACCTGTGTGGGAGACCCTGGAGTGGCTTCTGGCTTAGCTCTGGCCATTGTCTTTCCTCTCTGTAAATCTGCCTTCCCAATAAAAAATAAAAACTTTTTAAAAAGACATTTTAGTGCCTTCTGAAGGGGACAGTGAGAAGAAAGTTGTGTTGGTGACTTTCAATGAAACCAGCTTAGTCCCTGTCCAGCCCAGCCCTCAGGAGCCACCCTGGAGTGGTGGTGGAAATATTGTTCCCTGCGGTACTCCTGTCATTTGACCCAGTGCCTGCCTGCCTGCCTTCCTGTCCTGAGGGGCAGCCTCCTCTTGCCTCCTGGTCACCAGGCCATGGGCCACGCAACAGCTGACTTGGCACTTCCAGCATGGCACTTGTGGCTGGCAGCAGAAGCTGCTGTGCTCATTGCCAGGGTGTTTGTGTGCAAGGGTGGTCATTCTCATAAAGGATGAGACCTCAAAGTGGACTGCACATCGGGAGGGCCAGATGTGGCACAGCCTTCCAGCACAGAAGGGACAGCCGTGGCAGGAGACAAGCTGTCTGTTTTTGGAGGTGCTTGGGTTTAAACCACTGTCTGGTCTCCTTTTTTCCCTAAGCAACTAAGGTTGGACCTGTCGGGAGCTAGGTAGATTCTTGAGTCCCAAATTCTAAATCTAGACACTAGAGGGCACCCTTCTATCCATCCTAGAAAGGAAAAGGAGAGAAAATAGCCACAAGATCCTAGAAGACAAATCCGTGGGTCAGTCCTGTAGGGCCACAGAGAACACAGGTTCAGAAGCTCAGGTCAGGAGCACATCAGGTTAAGCTGCTACTTGCAATGTGAGAGTGCTGGTTCAATTCCCAGCTGCTCTACTTCCAATCTAGCATCTCCCAATAAAGCTGGAGAGGCAATGGAAGATGGTCCAAGTACCTGGGCCTCTGCCACCCCCGTGGGAGACTTTGATGGAGTTCTGGATTCCTAGCTTTAACCTTTTAACCTGGCCCAAACCTGACTCATGTGGCCACTTGGTGAATGAATCAGCAGGTGGAAGATCTCTCTCCCTTTCTGCCTTTCAAAGAAGTAAGTAAAATAAATAAATAAATAAATGCGGGCTGTGAAGGTGCTGGGCTGGCTCAGTGGCCTGGGTATGAGCCTTCCCCCACCATCTCACTCCTTGGGTTGGAGGTCCTTTTTGGGGACCAGAGCCTCAGGTGGCCTCGCCTAATGCCTGGAGAAGGCAGACGTCATGGGAGAACCTGGCTGGGCGAGGGCTGAGCTGAGGGTGGAGGAGGCCCAGGTTTCGGGCCAGGAGCCCCACGAGGCTCCTGCACAGTGAGCAGGCCCCTGTCCCTGCAGTGTGCAGTGGGAAAGGCTGACAGGGGGAGGCACGTAGCAGTACATTCACGCAGGAGTGCCCCCACCCCCGGGGGGACCACTGGCTCACCAGACCCTCTGCCGCCTTTCAGGACTTCAGCCTGGCTGTCCTCTTCTTCCTCCTCTTCTTCCTCATCCTCCTCCTCCTCCTCATCCTCTTCTCGTGGGTAGCCCAGCTCCCGCAGCTCCCCCAGCTCATCCTCCTCCTCCGAGGCCTGGTTCTCACCCAGGTTGCTGATGGAGTGCAGGTGAGACTCGGCAATGCGCTGCACAGCTGACACAGGGTGCCCCGGTGGCATGGTCACCCCGGTGGCATGGTCAGCCCTGGAATCGAGGGCAGGGCGGGGAGGGGGGTGGCAGCGCATGCAGGCAGTGGGGGAGGGGGAACAGACCAGGGCAAAGGTAGTGGGGGGTGGACTCAATCTTGTCTGGCTCTTAAGCTGTTCCCCCAGGAGGCTGGCACCAGAAAGCACCGCTATTCCACAGGGCGCCAGACTGGGCAAGACCAGACGAGTAACAAGACAGCTTAACATTCCCTGGACTCAGCGAGGGTCTGTATCTACCAGCTTCCACCCTGGGTAGAAGTCACAGCACCTAGAGGCCTCAGCATATGCCCCCTTTCAGTTTCTGTGGGGAATGGTTCCCTGCTGACCCCAATCGTACCCACTACCCACCACACACAGCACTCCACCCCACCCCAGTTCACAGGGCTCCCAGGGGGCAGCAATATTTCTGAGGGTAAGAATGTGAGGAGGCTGCAGAGGTGGCCCCCACAATTTTGACCCATATCCCCAAGCTCCCAGCTCCCTCTGTGACGACCTAGAAAGAAGCCAACACCCCCTCACCACCACCACCACCAAGACTTGCTCCGGCTGCAAGGATGGCCAGGAGCAGGGGCTTGGGAAAAAAGGGATTGGGAGCAAGTGGGACACTGGCCTCCCCCAACTGCCCCAGGCCCATGCCAAGCCCAGGAGCAAGGTCACTGTGACCCCCTTCCTGCAGAAACCCAGTGGGGTAGCTGCAGGCTGGAAAGCTGTGGTGCAGTGAGCAGGGCAAGGCACTCCTGCCAACTCGGGGACAGGCACAGAGGACGCATTGTGTGTGCACGCAGCCCCACCCTGCCCCCACCTCCAAGCCCAGTACCTCCTGCCGGCTCTGGGCAAGCGACCCAGGCAATAAAAGCACGATAAATTGCCCTGCCCCAGCCTTGGGGACGCGGCAGTTTCACCTTGAACCAAGTGTGAAAGTGCTACCTTGGAACACCTCACCCCAAGACTCAGGGTTTTCCAGTTGGTCCCTCCCCTACAACCCGCACCCCCATCTGCTTGCTGCTTTGCCTCTCTCAGAAAGGGGCTGGAGCCTAGGAAACAGCACCCTCCTGCTGGAGAAAGGCCGGGAGGGCAGGAGGAATGTGTGTGACGCGGTGGCAGCCTCCCCCAGCAGAAGGGGAGCAGGTTCCTAAGCCCCAGTAATAACAGGTGTGCAGGATGCTGGCACCGCGTGGGCCTCCCCTTCATGCTGCACTGCAGGCTTGCTGGGATCAGCCCCTTGTCCCTGCTAGGCTGTCTCCTGCCACACCTGTCTCCAACCCTGGGGCCCTGAACCCTTCACTCATGCCAGCTTTCCCCTGATAAGCTCAAGTTCCCCAGACTGCTCACGCCTGCCCCCCTCCTCTTCCCTGAAAGATGTAGGGGCAGTGGAAGTGGAGATGGAGCACATTTTTGTGTCCCACTTCCTCAGGGGGCCGTGATCAGGAGCCCAAGGTCCAGTTTCCCCCCTTCTTATCCATCCGGACTCTCCCCAAATCCGGATCAGGAAGGGACTTCCTTCTCTCCTGGAGATGCCACCTTCTCCCTGTCTCTCTGCTTTGCACCTGCCTGGGACTCTCCCATGCCTCCCCACAGGTGGGCCTGCACACTGCCCCCTTCTATGGCTTCTGACTTCTCTTTGTCCTTTCTCGTGACAAGAGAAGGAACCCCAGCTCTCGTCTCTTCTCAGCCCCGCCTCTCTCCCCCCAGCCTGGCAGCAGCCCGACAGGTGCACCTGTTGACCTTGGCTGGTGCTCGGAAATTGTTATCCACCCCCTTCCCCTGGAGGGAGCTCTCAGCACACCCTTCTGGACTCTCTCCCCTGCCTCCCTCTGGGGAGGAGTGGGCTGGCTGGCCCGGCAGGAAGCGCCTTAGGCAGGATTTGAGATGGGGTGGAAAGGCATCCCGTGGGAAGAGGCCCCCTCTCCCCCAAGCTGCACCCCATAAGAATCCCTTCGCATGTCTCCTCCCTCTAGTCTGCCTGGTGAATTCCTAAGGTCCTACAAACCCAGTCTTGCTTGAAGCCTACCGGGAAGGTCTCCCATGTGCTGCTCCGAGAGATTGTGTGGAAGTAGCCAGGTGCCTTTGACATAGGAGAGGGCACCCTGTGATGGTGAATGGAAACCAGCACAGCTCACAGTTGCCAAGAGGAGAGGCCCACAAAGCCATGGTCACAGCCATGCCCACCTGTCACAGGGGGCCTTTCCACCCCACAGTCTGTCCTTGAGGGCCCGAGCCACCCTAATCAGACCAAGACAGATTCAGTCTCCATGCACAGGCTGGGCAGCAGGCAGCAAAGCCTCCCCTCGACCCAAGCCCCGCCTCCCACCTCCCTCCATCAGGGATCCTGGGGACAGCAGGGAAATGAGCTGGGTGGGCATGAGAGGGAGGCGGTACCTTTCAGCGAGGGGGGTGTGTAGGCACAGGGATTGGCTCTCTTCGACTTGTGGTGCCCCTCTCCTGCTGCTCTCTGCTGGGAGTGTGCAGGTCAAAGGTGTCCGCCAGAGGCCCCTCCCAACACCTCCCCCTCCATAGCATCCCTCCCAGCAGGCAGCCTGCTCCAGCCTCTGTGAGTGGGTCCTGCACCCATCCCACTCCACTCCACTCGTGTTGTTCAGGGTAAGCCCCTCTGCAAGTGGCCCCCTGCAAGTCTGAGCAGAGGCCAGGGCGGAAGAGGAGCTGCGGGCATCAGGCTCTCCAAGGAGGACTGATTGATATGTAAATGAGCCTCCTGGGTGGTACCCTGGGTTGGCTGGCACCACTGTGGGCATCCTGCCACCCCACCCCGAAGGATCCGGTGTCCCTCCTTCCAGCTGCCCCAGGAAACTCACCTGGTGGGGGTTGGCCTCCTCCTCTGATGAGGCCCCCCAGGAGGGAGGGAGGGAGGGAGAGAGAGAGAGAGAGTCAGTTAATCACCAGCTCTGGGAAAGGAAACAGGGCCCTCTCTTTCCTCAAGTCTGGTCTGAGAAGTGTGGCTAAAGCGGTGGCAGAGCTGGACTCTGGGGCCTTGCTTACTCCCCACCACCAGCTTCAGCTCCATCTCCCACTCCAGGGACCCAGCAGGGGGTCCAGGAGAGCATCAGAGTTAGCGTGGGGATGGGCCCCAAGCCCTACCTGGGGAGGAGTGCTCTGAGACTCGAAACAGCATGGCAGGGGTGGGTCTTCGGCGCCGGATCTAAGGAAAAGGAGGAAGGTGGGGTACGGAAGGTGCACCCCGGGTACACGCTCACCCTGGGCACTTGAACTCAAGACTCTCAAAACTCCAAGGAGCTCTGTTGCTCCTCCACCACCTCCCATCTGACAGGCAAGGCCCAGGACTCAGAGGCTGGGCTGTGTACTCACGGTCACACACCACACAGAGCCCGGCCAGAGGCACCTGTCACAGAACCCCAGCCCATGTCCGGCTGCTCCAGCGGACAGCAGATCTCGGAAGCCAAAGCCGGCTGGGGCTCCAGCTGCCAGTCCTGGGTCCTCTGGGGCAGATGTGTCAATGGCCACAGCTGCCACATGACCCTACCCGAAAAACGACAGTTCAAGGGCTGCAGAACACCAGGTCCAGCTGCCAGGGAGGCAGAGCCAGGCCTCGCAACCTGCCTGCCCCTGATGGCTGCCCTGCCCCTCTCTCTCAGGTGACGGGTGGGGGTAGCAACCTGGGACTGGGTGCCTCCGACCGTGTCCCCAGAACCCTAGAACTCTGCCCAGTTCTGGTGCCCTCCTTACATGCACCAAGCTGCTGCTCCTGGTGATGGGGGGGGGGGGTGGAACCCGCTGAGATCGCCCAGCAACTGTCCTCCCCACCCCCTTGGCAATCAGACCAACTGACGGTAATTAGGTCCCCTCTGAGCTCCAGGGAACTGCGCGAAGAGAACCAGGTGAGGTCAGAGCGCTGCCTCCCCTGCAGGCTGGACGCCTGGGCCTCCCTGTCCTGTCCCCCCACCTCTGCCCAAAAGGACTGAGTGCCATGCTCAGGGCTCTGCCATGCAGTGTCTCAGCAACAGGTGACTATGTGCTAGGGGAGGTGGCAGTGGAGCCCTCTGTCCCTGCCCCCCAGCCTTCGGAGGCCCCGAATTCCCAGCAAGCTCCTCAAACCCCGGCAGCTGTAGGAAGAAGTCTAACTTGAAGGGGTAGGGGGTGTGCTGCACACCCTGGGGGGGGGGGGCGTCCGGGGCTGACAGCAGCAAGTCACGAAAAGGCTCCAATCCAAAGTGTTTACATGAGGGGATCCTGACCTGTCCTGGGACAGGATCCCAGAAAGGAGTAGGCCTGGGGGACTCTGCAGGGTCCAGGATGGTCAAGCCCCGCTCCGGGAGTGGCCGGGAGTGGCCGACCAGCCCTCCTCCCCGCCGCCACTCCTTGCGGGATCGGCCCCCAGGCGCTGGGAAAAGTAACGAGTCTCCCGCCAACTTCCCGCGCCTCGGTCTTGGCCAAGACGGAGCTTCTTCTGATCCGCCGCCCCTCGCCAGCCCTGCCCAGCAGCGCCCCGAGAAAAGCAGAGAAGCCCCCGGTGTGCGTGCTGAGGGGTGGCCCCCTTACCATCTCCACCTGGCGGGGGTCGAGCTGGCTAGGGGGTGCAGGCACCGAGAACTGGATCTTCTTGCGGTCCTTGGGATCCATGGCGTGGGGGGTTCGCGGCTCGGGGTCTCGGGCTGCAGTGCGTGCTAGGCTACCCGCTTGCGGGCGGGCTGCGAGCGGCGAGGAGGAGGAAGAAAAGGAGGAGGAGCAGGGTTATTCACGCACGGATAAAAATACCGCTCGCGACGCAGACCTGGCGCGGGAGCGGGAGGCGGCCGCTCGGGTTTGCTGGCGGGGCCAGGTGCAGGCTCCGCGCGCGCCCGGGGCACACAGGTCGCCACGCGGGTCTCTCTGCCCTTCGTTCCTTCCCGGCCCGGAGCGTCCCCGCGCGGATTTGCTCTCCGTCTGCCTCCCTCTGCCTCTCCCTCTTCCGAGTCTCTCTGCTGGGCTCCGCGCCGCGTGCCAGCCCTGGGGTCCCAGCCCGTCCCCTCGGAGGGAGGGCACTGGAGGATGTGGCCAATGAGCGCTGAGAGCCGCGCCCTGCCCTCTCCTGAGGGGTGGGGTGGGGGTGTGTGTCTGGGTTGGAGTGGGCTGGGGGCCCCCTGCAGTCGCCCCTGAACTTGAGGCTGCATTTTTGATGGAGCCCCGCAGAGAGGAGCGATGCCCCCCTCCAAAGGGCAGCGGACAGGGGCTGGCATCAGGTCTCACAGTAACTGGTTCCCTGCCCGGGGCTTGGGCTTGGAGTCGCACTCAGGTCTGCGGGACAGAATCCCCAAGTCACGTCGTGATTGGGGGTGTCCCAGAAAGCGAGTGAGCGTGAACAAGGTGTGCGTGGGAGGACACCTGTCAGTCACCGTGGCAGGGAGGGGGTGCGAATGCCAGGGGCCTGCCGAGCCGTGGCGGGGGACCGGGTGCGTGTGTGAGCACAGGGTGTGGGTGCATGTGAGCGTGAGTGGCAGCGCGTGGGAGGCCTGTGTGCGGGGCGGGATGGGGGCGGGAAGGAAGCCGGAGGCAGTGAAGGTGATGGCAGGCTGTGCAAGCCCCACCCCCCCTTCACAGCCTGCCCCGTGGTGGGGTGGTACCCTGCCCTGTCCCCTACCTTTGGGCCTCAGATCTGATGGGAGGGGGCACGGAGCCAGCCGGGGGGGAGCAGAGGTGGGGGTGTCTGGTGTCGCACGTGTGTCCTCACGTGTGCCAGTTGGGTGTCTGCTGAAGAGAGCCAGGGGAGTGAGTGCCCTGCCTCTGGGGTGTGAACCTCTAACTTACAGAGCTGTGGCACCTCTACAGGGAGCAAGGCCCAGGGGAAGTGTCCAGGCTGTCTGTCCTGCTGCAGGTGGGGGTCTGCATGCCAAGGGGGCGCAGATGTAAACACCCATGTGGCATCTCCCCTCCTGGGGACTCTCAGGCCCTGGGACAGCCAGGAGCTCTCCTACCTCAGCTGCCCTGGGAACTTGTGCACTCCCTGTGCCACCAGGGAAGTGAGGGAACTGGGGTCAGGCCACCTCCAGGGGCAGGGGAATGGAGGCCAGTTTGCTCACTGCTGGCCAGCAAGTGCACCATCCTCCAGCCACAATGGGCCTGGCACCCAACATACTTGTTGACTTTTCAGCAAACGGCCAGATGCCAGGTGGCGGGCCAGGGGTGTGGGCCTCTTTGGCAGCCCCTGACTTGGCCTGCAACTTGTATTCCCAAGGGGCATGGCCCAGGCTCCAGTCACCTGAACAGCCACTGGGCAAGGGAACCTGTGGCTTTCCATGCTGTAGCCTAGGGCGGAACAGAAGACTGGGGCCAGCTGGATATACCATGAGCAGAAAGGAAGGCCTGCTTCCTGGAGCTTCCAGCCTTGGGGACCCTGCAGCCAGCATAGGCATGGCCAGGGAGGGCTTACCATGCAGAACTGGCCCCCAGCCCCAGAGCTCTGGCAGGCCCTAGACCAGGAAGAGCTATGCTGATCCAGGCGGGCACATCTGCCAGGCCAGCCGGGAGCTGAGAATCCCTTGTGGGCTGCAAGTCAGGGCCTGGAGGGGTGCAGGAGGGTGTCTCTACCCTCTGCGCCCAGCCTGTGCCCTGGGGGACGCTGGCTGACAGAGGGACAGACAGGATTGAGAAGGAAGGACGACAGAGGCAGAAGAGACAGAGGGAACGTGTGCGATAGACAGCAAGACAGGGAGGCAGGGAGAGGGGCAGAAGCCGGCGCTGGGGAGGAAGTAAAAATAGCTCCGCATTAGGATAATTGCAGCGCCGCCCTGCCCTCCGTGAGGAATTAAATGAGGTTTTATTACTTCGATTTCTCTCTCCTGGATCCTACGCGACTTTGAGAGAACTTGGGGAAAAGTTTCTCAAGTGGGCGGTAGAGGAGTCGGGGAGGGAGACCGGGGGCTGGAGGAGGGGACACGGAGAGTGGGCAGGGAGGGGCTGGGGAGGAGACCAGGCCCAGGTGGGGGGGGTGGGCGCACTGGGAAGGAAGGGGCTAGGGCAACTTGTGTTCCCTTTGACTTAAAGTTAATGTTATGCAAATGAGATGTAAATAGGTGCCATTCCTAGGTTATTATTCCTGAGTTAGAGGCACAGGAATGAATCAAGACCTCGATTGACTTAACTGGGGTTGAGCTGTGGGTCGCTTTCCCAGGGCCGGCAGGAAGCTTTGATGGCCGCTGGGGTGCAGGGTACAGGGATGTGTGCCATTTGCCCGTGTGTCCTTGCCCTGTGCTGCCTGCGGTGCCTGGCACATCGGAGGACCGTGTGCCTGGTGGGAAGGTGGGGTGAGTCCTTGACTTGCCTCTGGGAGGTGAGAGAGGGTCAGTCTGGAATGTTGTCCCTTTTCCTATGTCACGTTGGCCAGGTAGCAATCTCAGGGGCTGTTATCATGGTGTGAACTTGGATGAATGGCTTTGGTTCTCTGTGCTTCAGTTTCCTGAGATTTCAAAACCCACTTCAGGTAGCAGACATGACCATGGTCCAGGATGAACCTTGATGAATGGCTGCCCAGTGTAGGAACACACCACACAACCCACCCCACTCTCCCCAACCCCACACTGCCCCCCCCACTCAGATAATCCCCCATCCCATCTTCAAAATGTCCCTGCGGCGCTGGAGCTGCAGTTTCAAAAGAAGCCAGCAGATGGCAGAGTCGGCCAGGATTTGGGCAAGGGGCGCAGCGCTGCAGGTCTGTGGCTGGGTATGGCCCGGCTGACCTTGGCATCACTGAACCAGAGCTGGCTTGGCAGCTGCGTGTGGCATCTGGAAGGGAGGCCCCAGGAAGTCCCGGGAAGCAGCCTTAGAGGAGCCAAGGCAGCTGCCTGGGCACATGGGGGCATCTTCCCCTACCACTGGGGCGAAGAAAGGAGGGCAGGAGGAAAGCACGGTGCCAGGGCTCCCCTCGGGGCAAGCCATGGACCAGAAAGAGGAGTGGTCAGAGCACCCTCAGCGGGGACAGGGAGGGCAGCAGCACAGCGGTCATCGGAAGCATCCATTCATTCATCCTTTGCCCGCCATTCAGCAAACCCACATTGGTGCTTACGTAGTTTACGAATACACTTGTCTGGGTTGCATCGTGCATGCCATAAAGCTACCGATTCCAAACACACATTTCAGAGAGTTGTTTAAAGCCTATGGCATGCGCTGACACTGCCACGGAAATAGGAAACATTTTTATCTCCCTAAAACATCCTGTTGCGCACCTCCGAGCACACCCCCCTGTTAACTCCCAGCACACTATTTTGGGACCGGTCCTTCCCACCACGTGTCCCTTACCTCACCGCTTGCCTGCCATGGCGCCACGTGCTCACAAGAGCTGAGGGATCGGGGAAGAGATGAATATGTCAGTCACCTGAGCTGACAGCCCTGGGCTCAGTCCTCGCTGATGCTCCACTTTTTGCTGGGCAGGCTGGGAGTGGGAGTGCAGGCAAAGGCCCAGCAGTCGGGGGGGTCGGGGCGTACTCGGGAAGGCACCCCAGCCTTAGGTGGCTCAGCTCTGCTCCTGCCACAAGCTTTCTCTCTCTTTTTTTTTTTTTAATTTATTTTTATTTTATTACAAAGTCAGATATACAAAGAGGAGGAGAGACAGAGAGGAAGATCTTCCGTCCGATGATTCACTACCCAAGTGAGCACAATGGCTGGTGCTGCGCCAATCCGAAGCCGGGAACCAAGAACCTCTTCTAGGTCTCCCACGCGGGTGCAGGATCCCAAGGCTTTGGGCCATCCGAGACTGCTTTCCCAGGCCACAAGCAGGGAGCTGGATGGGAAGTGGAGCTGCCAGGACCAGAACCGGTGCCCATATGGGATCCCGGTGTGTTCAAGGCGAGGACTTTAGCCGCTAGGCCATGCCGCTGGGCCCATTGCCACAAGCTCTCTACTGGTGCACACCCAGCCTAGTCTGGTTGTTGGGAGTAACTGGGAAGTGAACCAGAAGACACAAGCTCTTTCTCGCTCTCTCGCTCTCTGCTTTGGAAAAAACTCAAAGTAAAAAGATGCAGAGAGAGAGAGCTCCCTGTGCTGGCTCCCTCCCCAATGGCCACCACAGCTGGGGTTGAGCAAAGCAGAAGCCAGGATCTGCCACTAGGTCTTCCAAGGGGGTGGCCTCAGGGCAAGAGCCTGGGCCAAACTCCCTTGCTGAATGGGAAGCACAGCCACCGGGACTTGAACCTGTCACTCTGATACAGAATGCCAGTTGGCAGTTGCGGCGCTACATGCCGACCCTCCAGCGCTGCCTAACCCACAACCCCCATTCTTTCCCGTGTCGTAGTCACCATCAGGACCGACTTCCTCTGGCTCAGCGATGGACCACGGCTTTGCACAGATCGCGGGTGAAGCAAATGGATGTGCCGACGCTGCCCTCTGGTGGCAGAAACGAGTGCAGCCGTCTCGTGCTCTCTGGCGCCCCCCAGTGGAAGAGCTGGGATGTGGTTGCGAAGAGAGCATGCTGTGGCCCACAGCGAGGGGCAGCGTCAGCCCCCAGCACCTGGAGACCCCCTGCTCTGGCCACTGCCTGGTGCCCCCCGAGGTGCCAGCTGAGACTGCCCCTCTAAGAATGCCAGCTGCTGGAGCTCTCCACCTCCCGCGCTCTCCACCAGCCTCATACACACTCCAATCCCGGTCCAGTCGGCTGCTTCCATTCCCTGAAGAAGAGGCCCTAAAGTTAAAACAGCTGTTAATTTATAAACCAATTTTTCCGTGACTGCTTAATAAATCGCCAGCAGCTGCTCTGCCCCCTCCTCCTGCCCAGGCCCCCGGCCCTGGGGGCTGCACAGAAAAGCTCAGAGCTGCCGGCCTGCCCCTCCTCTCTCATTCTACCCA